ATTGCACGATCAACTTGCTTTTTGGCTCTTTACGCTCCTGTTTAATAATTTTGATTTTGAAAATCTTATGAGCCTTATATCATTTTAATTTTGAATATATTCTCAGTTAATCATATGCCTCAGTTTTACATTCTGCCAGTATTGCAATATAAATCATAGAGTGCTTATACAGGGTGTCCCGTAAATCGAGGTCAATCGCTCGAAAGGTGATTGGGGACCCAAAAACAAGAAAAAACGTTGATATGAACAGTCCGAAAATGCGTTGTTTTCGAGTTATCTCCATTTTTATGTTGAAGGAGGATGGGTAAAATAGGCCGATTTTCGGCCCGGGAGCGGTAAGTAAAAACGGTATGTTTTTTTGTAGTTTAGCTGCTGAATCTGAATCTGACCTTTAAAAATGTCTAATCTGTCGAGAAAATATTAAAATCAGCATATGAAGCTGTCAAATATATCTAGTATCGTAAATTATTGTTCAGCTTTACGAACGTATTAATTCGTGTTTTCCTGCTAGTAAAACATGATAATCCTCTCATCTCTAATAGTTCATGTTTAGCTTGATAAAAAAAGCAAAAATTAATATTTAAAAACAGAGGCATTATGAATGGAAACCATTTTAAATCTTGAAACTACTGCACCTGGGAGCATTGTCATTTATTACGCATTACAAGGATTTTCTCCACACTCATGTATATAATAGAGTCCAATAAAAGTATTTTACTATTGTAGTATTTTTACTACAATAGTATATAGTATTAATATTTTACCATTAGAAACTGTAAGATTCACGCAAGAAATATTTGTTAGCACCCAAATCCGCTTTGATCAAATAAAGCCTTTTTTATTTATTAATTTATGTTGTTAATATATTGATTAATTTTCACTTAATGTTTATTTCACTATTATTTTTTTACAGTTTCATTAACATACCATTCTCATAATAGCTTCTTATATGTTTAACAGCTTCATATGCTGATTTTAATACTTTTCCGATGTCCCGGCTTAGCCACTCGCGCCCTGATATTTTTTCTCTCGTTCTTCCTTCTTTCTAATAACCTCCTTTCTTTCCTTCATTTTGTACATTTAAATTCTCGTAAATGAGATCAATGTATGTAATTTTCGTACACTTTAGTATCTCGAATCAGAAATCGTGTACACCAGGGCTTGGAATTATTTCATCTTTTCGGCCGATTCTCGTGGTATACACCTCCTTTCCTCTCCTTACCGCGCGCGCGGCGCTGGCCCTAACGGCTGCCGCGCGCGACGAAAAAGAGAGGAAAGGAGGTGTATACCACGAGAATCGGCCGAAAAGATGAAATAATTCCGAGCCCTGGTGTACACTTTAATAATGTCTCTAGTAGACGAATCAATTTTCTGTATGAAAAATATTAATAATTCTCGCACTAACATCCAACGATGGCTCAAGATACCTTTCAATTTATATTAATTTGATTTATATCATACGAGCCTAGTTCTTATATATCAATGACTTTTCCGATAGGTTAGACATTTTGAAAGGTCAGATTCAGATTCAGCAGCTTAAAAACTACAAAAGAACATACCGTTTTTACTTGCCGCTACGGAGGCTAAAATCGGCCTATTTTACACATCCTCCTTTTAAATTGCTGTATTTCGAATTTTTTGTCAAAATTAAAAGAAGGGATAGTTAGTATATGAATTTTATAACATAACAAGTCAAATAAAAGTTGCAGGCTGCTTTAGCACTACCCAGGATGCAGCACGTGGAGGTACAGCCCTTAGCATTTCTTGGCAGAAATCAGGACCCCACGGTTCATCACTCCTGTGGGGCACCCTGTATATTATAGTAAAACTTCTATAAAAACGTTAATTTCAAGCCTAACGGAATTTCTTTATTAAGATTGTTACAGGTAATAATTTGATATTATCTTTAGATAAAACAAGTTATAGTTTATAACTTTTTACATGTTATATTCTTTTTATTTTGTAGCACGCACAAATAATTTTGCATTTTCATAAAATCTATCATTCGGTGAAACGTTCACATACTTAGTTAATTGTCCCTATTACCGCGACCATTTGGTCGGTATTTGGGAATTGAGAAATAATTTTATAATATAAGAAATTATAATATATGTGTTTAAAATAATAATTTCTTTTTTGAATTTTTTAAATGTTTGTTTCTTTTATATTAAAATCTTATATTAAAATCTTTTACCAACCAACAAAAAATAAATATTTTTATCATAAATTTTATTTTAAGAATAGCCAATCTTGTAACCTATGTTAGTATGTACCTAAGTAGTGTGTCAATTTTTCAAATAAACTTTTTATAATTTATTAAAGAATATATTACACAAATTGAAATTTTTAAGCATCAATAGGTTTTACATATACTCATAGGTTTTTACATATACTCATAATAAGATATTAAATATTATTAATCCTCTAGCTTTGATTAATAATTGTAATGTTTATTCTATTCTGGAAATTGACAAACTGCGTGAAAAAATAATAATATTTTTCTTCATCTAGTCTAATTTGAGATCATTTAAATTTTGCAGAAAATTTTATATTAATTTTTTTACAGATTATTTAAAATATTATATATTTATATTATTAATATACAAATTAATATTGTTGTTATTTAGTTAATTTCATTTATCTTTTTAAATGATTTATCTTTTCAAAATCAATTAAGATACTATAAATAAAAAATTAATAATATTATTTTAATTATTATATGCGTTTATATGTATGTTATTACATTTAATTTTTAACAAAATAAAACTATTTATATTGATTCAAACTATATTTTTTATTTTATTTTTTCTGGATGGTAATAAGATCTGAACTGGTCGGTAATAGGAAAAGTTTAAAGGAGGTCACTTTGACCGAAAAAAAAAAACGAAATGAAAAACGGCTTCATGGATTTTGATGAAATTTGCAGGGAAGATAGTCTAGGATGAAAGAAGAAAAATGACCATGGCAAGGGCTCAGGTGCTATGGTTCCCGAGTAATGGCGTCCAGAACTGGGTTTCTATCCATAGGAATGTATACTCTATTCAGTGAGAAAAAGGCCCTCGGAATAGGAAAAGCATAGCGGCCGAAGTGGGGAGAGCGTTGCCATTGGCAACGCAGCATTGTACTGCACAAGCAGTTACAGTCCTGTGGAGTGGGGGGCTTTCTAAGTGTCCCGTGAGGGGAGACCTGCACGAAACGGACGAGTTTTCGTTCACTCCGAGGGCCTTTTTCTCATTGAACAGAGTATATTCGGGGTGTCCCATATGTTTCGGACCGGCTGAATATCTCGGAAAATATGCATTTTTGAGAAAAATGTTTCAGACATAAGTTGCACGGTATAAAATGAGGTATTTAGTGATGTTAGCAGTTTGACCTTGGGTCGCGTCACAAAAACCAGGTCAAAATCACATTGATTTTTTAAAATAGAATATCTTATTTTTTATTCTAGAATCTAGTAGCTGTGGTAGGTGTCAAGAGCTTTTCAAAACACTATAACAAAGTTATTTTTCATTAAGTACTTTTCGACTTATGAGGCTTGAAAGTTACAGTAGAATGAGAGAGAGAAAGAAGCGTCCCAGCGAGAAATGACCTATCAATCGACGTCAAACCGATGTCTAATTGATGTCGAAATTATCAATATTGCATCGTATTGATGTCGACTCGACATCAGTTCGAAGAGTCATATCTCGCTGGGGTGTTGAGCGCGTTACCGCATTCTTTTTCTTTCTTACTCTACTGTAACTTTCAAGCCTCATAACTCGAAAAGTTCTTCATGAAAAGCTCTTGACACCAGCTATTAGATTTTGGAATCAAAAATAGGGTGTTCTATTTAAAAAAATCGATGTGACTTTGACCTGGTTTTTGTGACGCAACCCAAGGTCAAACTGCTAACATCACTAAATACATCACTTACTCTGCAACTTTTGTCTCAAACATTTTTCTCAAAAATGCATATTTTCTGAGATATTCAACCGGTCCGGAACATATGGGACACCCTGTATACAGAGTGAGTTAGTAAAAGTGTTACAAATTTATATTTCGAAAACAAAGCATTTTAGAGAAAAATGTTTCATACAAAAGTGTTGTGATTTCGAGAGGGACATAAGATGGTGTCATTGTTTTGACCTTGTATAGTCGTTTAAAGATCACATAAAGGTCACCTTTAATTTCTTAAACGAAATCCCCATTTTTCATGGTATATTCTTGTAGCTTAATCTTA